ACCATACAATTATTTTGGTTTTAACATTACGACACATCCACATCCTCATTTTTTAAAATGAGATTGGTTTTCTGGAAAACTTACATATTATTCAGAACAAAAAAGTTCCAAGTGAAAAAAATATTTCAATAACCCGGTCTGTATAAACTTTTGTTTCCTAACGGATGTTTTGTACACTATCGTTTTTAGGGTTCCGTACGGTAAAACGAGACCCTATTACTAAGGCTCCGCTGTCCGTCCGTCCATCCCCAGGCTGTATCTCATGAACCATGAAAGTTAGAAAGTTGAAATTTTCACAGATTATCTATTTCTGTTGCCTCTAAACCAACAAATTACAAATACTAAAAATCCTAGAATATATAATACAAGCAGTGTGGCCAACATGTTTATAGCTGATGATGGTACGGAACCCTTCGTGCGCGAGTCCAACTCGCACTAGGCCGGTTTTTACTTTAAGTTTTGCTCAGAACGAAAAGCAAATTTCAACAATTAAGACTTAACGCAGAACAATTTCGTTAATTTTCAGATTTGACCATCATTAAGTTTTGAAGTTTAAAATATTAGTGCCCTGAACAATTTAATATTTTTAAACAGTACTTTAATCTCAACACTCACCACTCACAACAGGATGTATACCAAAATTTTCTGATATCTCAACTCTCAAGTCCATGATTTAGAAGTAATACATTTTAACAAATCTACCACCGTCCACCACCACTACCACCCCAATCTCAATAATCAACGAAACCCACAGATCAAAAAAACTGCCCTGCCACTCCACTGCCACGGAATTTACATCGACTCAACTTATAGTTTTGGGTTTTTGTTCGGAAGCACTGCAGTCTGTAGCCTACGTAGCACACCATTATTATACAGTTGTATAGTTCAGTCTTAATTGTCGTTACCATTACAGAAAAATTTAAAAACGTCACATGGCATGGTCGAAGAACTACGAAAAATGAATCACGTTTCTTCTGCATCATATTTAAAAATACGGTTGACAAATATAAAATAAACCACATTCCCAATGTTTGTACACCAACTAAAAACAATAACGAGGAAAGAAAATACAAAACATGATTATTATTTTTTTTCTTTGGAAATATCCTATTATTTTTCGGGTATAAAAAAACATATTATACCTACATAAAATGCAAAAGTATAAAATGTGTACAAAAAAAAACACCTTCTGAATGAATTGATAAAATGTAAGCTCAAAGGTTTTTCCCATTTATTTTATAGAATTGAACAATACTTATCTGATTCATCCAGCAATATTTTATCGTATTTTCTCTGTTCCACACTACAACGCATATATTATATTAACTTATGTAAGTATATTATTTAAACAGTATGTTGAGGTAATCTTTTACATATAGACTTTAGTTAATCTAAAAATGTATTGTTCAGTGCTCATACTAATGTAATGTTTTAATAAATAAATGCTGATAGGTGATAAAAAAATAAATTAGGATTTATCGAATAAATTTCATAATATAGGTTTATTATCTAACAAAAAAAATACTTTAGTATTATAAAAAATATGTTCACAAATTAAACATACCGTACAACCAAATCAATTTTGTTCTAATTCAAATCCGAATAACCGTAAACATGTACTTTAAATAGGTATTCATTTTAACATTTCCTAGAAATTTTCAAAATATTTTGGCATATTTTAACTGTTTATTAATATTTTAATTTTTCACCTTTTTTAGTATTTTTCTTATAAATTATGATAAAAAAAATCTTATGCTTTATCAACTAATTTGAAAATGATGAAGAATGCTACCTATAACTTATCTATATTGACAAACGTATAGAATCCTTTAATTATATTTAAATGGTTATCAGTTAATAACGTTAAAATAATATCTTACATAGGTAAGATTATTTTCTAGGTCAATATTATTTTTCCACTATCGTTTATAATTAAAAAAACAAATAACGATGGCCATTATACGGTTCAGAATTGAAGGTTATATTATTTTTGACAAAATATCATCACAAAATATAGAAAAATAGAAAATATCTTTTGAATTGTAGTCTGATAGAACGTTTTTGCTCAGAATCATTTTTTGTGTACAATGATTTATCATTGAATTCAAATTTACCTCATCATCTATTATAGTGACCTATTCAAGGTAAACTCGACAACTACTTACTATAGGTACAGCAGAGTGAGTTGTACACTATTATATTTAATTTGTCAATGAACATAAAAATATACTATTAAATATAATATTTAGTATTATTATTATACTGTAATATGTTTTATATAATTATATATATTTTGGTTATTCTAATTATAAGTTATGATCTCAGGTTCAAAAATAATATAGATGAATTAAAATGATTAATATGTAAAAGATCTTACTTTTCAATAAAGCTCATGTTGAGATACCTCCGCAGATATATTGGTGCATTTATGTTTCTTATACCTTTCTTAGGTATTACCGTTATTGGTTACTGAAGATTGATGAATTACTTTTAGACATTTTAGGTTTTGGTGTTGTTGCAAAACGAAATGACAAAAATAATATAAACAACTGTATGAGATTTCGAGGTCATTTGTATTGTTAACCATTGTAGTTCAATGAAAAAATTGTATAGCAGAATTATGATTGGCTATTTGGCTACCTATCTATTTTATAGAAGTATAAAACTCTACTACAATTAATAGTGCCTAATAATATATCTTACTTGTCACTTCATTAAATAAATCAAATCAATGTTATTACTTAATAGATCCTAAAACCATAGAATTTAATGTTTTAAACTGCGAACAGTAGGCAGTATAGCATACACAATAACCATTAAAACCATCCTGTGGGGCTGTGGATCAATAACACTATAACCAATGCATTTGTCGTGTTAATATAGTGATAAAACGATATAAATCATTATAATTAAATATAGTGTTTCAAAAAACAACATAAATCACTGCAATCGGTATTCTTAATGGACCTTGAAAACTTATACTCAGAGCAAATATTGTGAATAACTAACCGGTTAATCTATATGGATTATGGACCTGCTCTAGTGAACTGTAATCGATGATAAGCGATCAGACGTACAAATTGAAGGGATTGTCAGACAGAAGCAAATACACGAAAGATAATAATTTTAGAGAAGCGATAGTTATCAATTATTTCGACAGTTCTTGGGTCGGTGTGTACCTGCAGGATCAGTGATGAAATGCTAATATTTTGTTCTCCGGTTATTTTAAAGCACTACCCAGGGGACCCATTTGCAGGGATACCGCCCCACCATTAAACGGTTTGGCAATATTCCCGAAGGCTCGGCCATAATAATTGCAATTCTGATGGAACCACCGTGATAGTTTATTGGCCCCGTAGCAGTTTATTACGTGCAGAGCTGTTTTTAACCAGTAGCAATGAAAATATAACGGTTATCAAAAATAAAAAATAAAACATTTTCTATCCGAAACACTTTATATATAACGGGGCGATGATGATATTCTTCGTTCAATCACTGATTCCAAGGAATAGAATTTTTCGTGTTGTAAAAATGATTTTTGCCAATCGAAGTAACGTACTTACCTACACGACTATTCCAAAAATCGGAATTTATTGACGGATAAAATTTTAAATCCGGTATAACAAATAAATACATTTTAAATTACCAGTAAAACAGAAATGGGAATAGAAAATTATTAAAAGTCAGTAATATTATACTATTATATAATTGTCTCCATAGTGCCTATATGAGTAATATAGAAGAGCATTTTTGTGCTACTAAATATCTCTTATTCTTTTGGTATAGTTTTGTACTAAAAATGATTATTAATTTATAAAGAATTTTTTGTTTTAAATTATAGAAATTGAACGATCATAATACTTGATACGAATATCATTATTGTGCATAAAATTGTATACTATTTAGTCAACTAATTTTTATTACCTAATGATTTCTTATGCTTTTATGCTTGTATAAGTTTATTGTTTATGTGTATAAATAATTAAATATAGGTATACATATTTATATTAATATACATTATACACTTCAAAAGTAAGTAGGTATACCTCGAAAGAATAATAAATTCCTTTTAATGAAAAAAAAAAATAATAATAAATATTTATATTTTAATTTTAGACAAAACTTTTTTTAATTCAGAACAGTTTTTAATTATTAACAAAATTATTAAAAATTCGATATTAAAATAATAATATTAATTAGAATTAATTATTAAAACACTAACGTATTATCTTAACTTGGTAATAGCGATTTATATTGGTTATATTTCACCATCTGCTGTTTGATAATTAATTTATATTATTTTAATTTTTGTGGAATATATTATTTTTTATGTTCCTGGTGGAATAAATATAAGATATGATAGAAACTTCCAAAAATATTATTATTCTAAACGCGTTCAAGTAAATATTATTTATTTATTTTTTTGTAGAATTTTAATTATTTTATTGCTTTTAGTAGATATCTATTTATGAATATTAAATTTAAAGAGTAGTCTTTAGTTTATTTTACTAAAATAATAATTTGTAAATATACTACGGCTTATAGAACTGTTAAATATTAACCATACTATTTTTATAAACTTTTAAATTTATAAAAGTAATTTGTTGAAAATATATATTATTATCTAATCTAAAATTGAATCAAATATAAATAACAGTGAAGATGGAACTTTTGTTTAAAAAATATTACACAGCTTTATTCGAAATCCATTTCATTTTTTTGATAAGTGTATAAATTATATAATTGTGGTTTTCATTGATACATTTCTGTGTGAACATTGACGTTTCTTCATCAAAAATATTTATTTAGATACCTATACTTAAATACATCTAAGATTCTAAGCTACATACATTATGAAATCAAATCGTATTTATGGCATATTTTAAAGTAAACAGAATAGTATAATATAATATGTGACATGTGTAATGTACTGAACGTAATTGTTTTAGCTATTTGGTGTAGGTTATTGTTATATTTGTTAGCTCAATAAATTAAATAGATTAAATTATTGGTTTGCAACATGTATCAGATAATCCAAATATACTAGTGATTAAATTTAAACCACATTTTAAAACAAAGGAAAGAGGATCGTAATCGCAATTTGGTTCACCAATATTACCATAGTCTTCCGTAGTAGTCTCAAGCTGTTCTACTTCCTGTTTTTGGGTCGTTACTTCGTATTTGGGCGCTTCTGTATTTGGTCCACTTGGAGGCATTGTAGGTGGTTGAGGTATTGATGGCATGGAAGGCATTGTAGGTGGCTGCGAGGTAGAAGATGTGGGCAAAGAAGGCGAAGATGGTATTGATGGCACAGAAGTCATTGATGGCTCAGAAGGCATTGAGGGCGTTGAAGGTATATCAGGCAATGAACGAACGGTTCTAGTATCATCATCATTGAGTGGAGGACGATAAGTTCCTTCAGGGGGTCGTTCTTCAACGAGTTCAAGTGATCTTTTCACTTTGTTCGTGGAATCTTCATTCGAAATCCCTTGTTCCAATTCATTATAATAATCGTAATCAGTTGGCCCTTCTTCGTTTTGTATTTCAATGGTCATACTATTCGTTTCATTATCGTTTATGTTTTTCACATCTTCGTAATAATATGACCATAGAATATAAGTATATCTACTAAAATACGCCATGACTGAAGAATTGTTTATGATTTTACTTTCAAAACAAATCCAATCATCTGATGAGCATTTTGGCAAATCTGTTAATATATCATTTTTTAATATTTAAAAATTACTTTTTATGGTTAATAATAAAATAATATACAAAAATGTTAAATAATTGTATAGACATTTTTATTTTGTTAGGTTGTGAATTACTTTATGCTATTTCATTGAAATAATAATTGACAGTGGTAATATTTTTCAAACAAATTACTTTTATTTCTTCTATTATAATTAAGTGGCTTATACTCGAATTACAGTTGACTGATGCGCAAAAAGTAATTTAGATAATAGGATCAAACGACGGACGACAAAACTGGTTAAAAATATCGTAAATAACAAACACAAATGTCTCCTTGGAGTAATATTAAAATGTGAATGCTTTTAAAATTAAATATAGTCAATGTAGCTATTAGTACTTACCTACTCTTAAACTTTGTTTGGGTCTTCCGATTACTTTGGAATAAGTAAACTTCGACATTTGACATACCTGTAATATACAAATTACAATAAACTTTAATGTTGCTAATTCTTGTTTTTATGAAATTAGAAACGGAATCAACTTTATCAAAGAAGTTTTCTTCTATTTTAAGTTAAGCTATTGTTGGTGAATCGTGTACAATAATATAAGACGAAATAATCTAATGAAAAAACTATTAAAATACAATTTTTAAAATCACAATTAAAATGAAACTTACATACTTCATCTAACTTATAAATATATAACATTCAAAATATATACAGGGTGATTTTTTTATCGAAGAACACTCATTATTTCAAAAAGTATTAATGTTTAAGAAAATATTTTTTTACATAGTTTCAAGTTGTTAAAAAACAATATTTTTATTAAAAAATTATATTTTTAAATATTTTTTATCCTTTTAATTTTTTAAGTTTTTTACTTTTTTGAATGACAACATCTAATTTTAATTTGATATTCAAAAACAGAATATTTTTCTGAGTATTTCGATACATAAAAATTGAATTTAGGGCAATTAGTTTATGAGTTATAAGTATTTAAAGTTTAGATGAGCGGAGTAGAGTGGTACGGGGTTACCCCGCGAAATGTTTGTCCTCTACTCCGCTCATCTAAACTTTAAATACTTATAACTCATAAACTACTTGCCCTAAATTCAATTTTTATGTATTAAAATAATCAGAAAAATATTCTGTTTTTGAATATCAAATTAAAATTAGATGTTGTCATTCAAAAAAGTAAAAAACTTAAAAAATTAAAAGGATAAAAAATATTTAAAAATATAATTTTTTAATAAAAATATTGTTTTTGAACAACTTGAAACTATGTAAAAAAATATTTTCTTAAACATTAATACTTTTTGAAATAATGAGTGTTCTTCGATAAAAAAATCACCCTGTATAGTTGAAAATAAATAAATTAAACATCTTATATATATGCCAATAATTACTATTCAGTATTAGTTTAATGAACATAAAATAATGTGTTTACTTACACCCATTATTTAATAAACATATTATGTAATATGTGATGATAAATAGTGTAAGCTATTGTATTATACAGCGTGATTAACCAAGCGTGCTTACACCCTCTTTTTTCTTCAATAATGAAGTTATTCAAAACCTAATTTTTGTAATTTTTAAATATACTCAATAAGGTTTTTTCAAATGTTTGGGATTTGTTGTACTATACCTTAAGAATTGTCCTGTGGAGATACAAACTTCTGTTATTCAAATGAGAGTCCCTCTTTTCAACTTCAGATTATTTAAAGAATAATATTTTGAACATGTTTACGTGTAAAAATAAAAACTCAAACGAGTAATTTTAGTTATTTAACTTTGTGTACTGAGGAATAGGGCCATGATAATGGGTTTGGATGATATGGGAGCTATAGTATTTTTTAAACGTTAGTTATTAATATTTATAATTTATAAACAATTGTCTAAGTTAAAGTAAACACTATATTTATCTAATATCCTATATTACACACTATGTTTCTAAAACCATTTTTAAGGACTATTATATGCTTAATATAAACGTTTCAATAACTGAGAAACTCATTCGAGTGTTAAATTATTTACATAAAAATTTTCAAAAGATTATCGACTAAATAATGTATACTAAAAATGGTGGCGGGTTGTAATTTGAAAAACAGAAGTTTGTATCGCTACAGAGGGCACTCTTTGAGTAGTACAACAAATCTCAAGAATTTTAAAGTATGGTCTTTAAGTATATATTATAAATACAAAAAATCAGAATTTGAACAACTATATTATTAAATTAAAAAAATGCGGATGTACATGCTTGGCCCTTTATATAGGTAATATGAAAACAATTTAGTAAGTACCTATAAATGTACAAAATAATATTAGGTATATACTTTGTATTAACTTTAAATAGTGTGTAGATAAAAATATCAATTAATCGATTTTATTTAATTTATTTAGAACTAGGGTAAATGTACTAAAAGCGACTGAATATAAACGATTTTGATAATCTATAAACGTATTGTAAATTGTGGGAAACGACAACCAGGATTTTCTGAGAAAACCCTTGACGTATAATTGCGAATTTAAAGGACTCGCCAATCATGTGTCTCGTGGGAATTCATGACGAATTACGGATGTTATATGTGTTTGAACAACGATTTGGAGAGCAATCGAAACGACGTAGCAGAATCGACAAAATGACGTTACAATATGGTCGGCAATTTAAAAATGCTTGTAGATAGCTACAATTAAAATCTAATGTCTTATAAAATTGACACACACACATTTTCACTTGGGAAATGGAAAAACAAAAACGTCGGCTTATATTTGTAGGCGAAAATTGTATAACAAGAAATTGTTATAGGCCCCATTAGACGTTTCTTATAAAAACGCTTTTATAACAGGAGCGAAATATATTGACAGTCTGTAAAAAAAACTTTTAAATTACACGGACATTTAACTTTTAACTAAATATAAATTAATGGCAACTTATAGATTAGATATTGACAAAGGTATTGTATAAATAATGTTTGTAATTCATGAATATAGTTGTATCAATTTTACGTAGTATTAAGTGTAATACAATTACAATCAAAACTTAAAGCATTGAATATTACATTCACTATTTGCATTGTTTCAATAATAAATATATCATGGGTACACGTTTTAGAGGCCTTTTGACTAAATCTACAACTCACTCGATTGAAAAATAAAAAGGTGGGCAAGTGGGTGTCGCTCTGCTGTACAGTAGGTTACAAGTGGGTCACTGTATAATGGATGATATTAAATTTGAATTCAACGATATAATATCATTGTATAAGAAAAACGATTCTGAGCGGAGACGGTATGTCAGTCTATGTTTAAGACATATTATATACATATCTATGGTATTAAACAAAAAATTGACCTATAATAATTAATAGGTACCTATAATAAATTCCAAATTAATCATATCACAATGTCCATTAGGTACTTATAACGCGTTATACATCAACAAAACCGTGATACTATCATAGATATATAATAGTACACTTTAGAAGTTTCAAGTACCCACGAATAATATTATTCAATCACAACAAAATAACTAAAATAGTTATTCTAGGTTTTTTAATATGTAATTTCGTCCAAATTTGAATTTAAAATGTCTGTAAAAAATAACTGTGTTCATATATTTTTTAGATTTTTTGGTTACAGTATGAACTATTTATGAGAACCTTTGTTTGAAATTTGCAATCCTTAGCTATAAAAACTGAACATTTTATAATTTATTAATTTCAATGATTGATAATTTTCGAGATTTTGATAAATTTTGTCAAAATTTGATCTTTAAATGCTTATAAAAAAAAACTGTGCCTATGTATTTTTAATATTTTTCAACTGCTATTGTAACAGTATATCAGGAGCCTTGTATTAAATTTTTACACTTTTTGGCCCAACAGATAAAACTTTATTGATATTTATAGAAAAAAAAACTAAAAAAAATTGAAAACTGTAAATGTCCATAAACAGCTCAAAAAGAGTCAAAATATTTTCAAAATTGTATGGTGTATAGAAAATGCTAATTTAAACATTCAGTGAAATTTTCATGTATCTACAGTTATTTGTTTTTGAATTACAACAAACTAAGGAAATCGCTACATGGGAAATCGAGTGAATATTCAATGTTGTAAAAATTTGAATTTCAAACGCTCATAAAAATTTAATTTGACTTTCTTATAGACATTTTTTTTTGATAAAGGTAGATAATCTTATAAGGAATATTGTGTTAAATTTTCAAATCTTAGATTTAAAAAGAAAAATTTTTACGAATTCTTAATTCAAAATAATTTGCTAATTTTCGTGATTTTTCCATATTTTGTCAATTTTTGAACTTTAAGTGCTTATAAAAAAAAATTGTGACTAAGGATTTTTAATATTTTTCATCTGCCTTTGAAACAACATATTAGGAGCCTTCTATTAAATTTTCAAGCTTTCGCAACCAACAAATAAAATTTTATTGATATTTCTAGAAAAAAAACTAAAAAAAAATGAAAAATGAAAATGTCCCTAAACAGTTCAAAATAAATCAAAATATTTTGAAAATGTTATCGTGTATAGAAAATGCAAATATAAACAACCAGTGAAAATTTCATGTATATACGTTCATTTGTTTTAGAGTTACACCAAAAACCAAAATCGATTTTTTGGAAAACCAATTTTGCGTAAAAATTCCCGTTTTTCCTTAATTTTTATGTTGTTTTTCCCGGCGCTTGTGAAAACTACTGGGAAATTTATACTTTTGACCCCCCAAAGTACCAACTAGATTCACTTTCCTATCAGAAAAGCTACTGATGAAGAAAATCCAAGCACTTTTACTGTCCTAAAACGTGATGACAGACACAAAAATAAAAAAAAAAATAAAAAAATAAAAAAAAAATAAAAAAAAAAATAAAAAAAAAATAAAAAAAAAACACACATCATTGTAAAATCAATACATTCATCGTTTCACTCAGAATCTAAAAACTAGCACTGTTAAAAAAAAAACAAATATAATAAAATATATATTTAAATAAAAATAAAATTTGGTAACAATTGTTTTTACTTATTCGATTTATGTACCTAATACAACTAAATTATTTTTAGAAAAATATTAAATATATCAGTTTAAAAAATATTGTTTAGTTAATTTTATTTAAATTATGATTGATAATTTTAATGTTCCCATTTAAAATTTTTTGTGGATTTTTAAAATAAAAATATTTATATGATATACAAAATCAATTTGCTACAAATTATGACCAGACACATTTTGGAGCAAATAAATTGCTTGAAAATAATATTGTACCTAAATAAAAACTACCTAATACCTATATTAATATTAAATATTGGACTCATGGTAGGCATATGTCATTAAAAAAAACAATCGTTATTATTTACTCAGTTTAAAATTAAAACGTCTTTTTTACATAAATAAATAATAAAAGTGGTATCGCCTCACTCAAAATGTAATAGGTAGGCAATAGTAGGCATAATAAACAATATGCGTAGTATTATAATTTTTCAATTTGTTGAATGTTATTACGGCTAGTTTACTTATAGATATTATAAAATATTATAAATAGTGAAAAATTAAGTGTTTTTATAAACTATTCTAACCTATAGGCTATATGTACCTACTTTAAAAATTAAAATATTATCTTAATTACTTACATTTTTTTTTTATATTATTTTAGAAAATTTACAATCTGTATTACATGACACAATATACATACATAAAAAATAACACATGAAACACAAGATGAGCGAAATCATCCAGCGATGGTACCCTCCAGTAATTAATTACTTACTTGGCCATAAAAAATAATTTTATTTGTAAAATATTACTTAAAACATTATAGATGTCTTAGCACATAATAATAAATATTTTCTGGCAAAAAGTACTTTATTTAACTTTATTATTATTAATATTGTTTCATATAGAAACCAAACGACAACGATGATACTTGAAAATGATACTTACATAAAGGAAAACACAAATATATTGTATTACGATCATGGTATTTTGTGAAGTGCACCATACACAAGAATGAATAATGTGCTTTTGACTGCAAATCATAAAATTTAGATAAACCACATAATATTATACTGACTTAGAGCTTCCTGCTTTTCTCTCTGATAACTATAATATTCAAGAGTATGTGTGCTTGTGTATACCTACCTATTATGTGTGTGTGTGTGTGCGTGTGTGTTTCTTTGTGTTATTATAATTTCATATTCAGGATTAAAAATTTGTTTCCTCTATTCAATGTGGATTCATTATCTAGGACGATTTACAAACAGATTAAAAATGTATCAAAATTGCATGTATAATAATAATAATAACAACAACAATGTGATTATATTACATTTCGTTGTATTGCAGTAAATTAGTGAAAAAAAAAAACGTCTTTGATGACCTTCCGATTGTAATATTCATGGTATACCTATTCATAATTCACTGCAATAACCTATTATTAGAAGAGAAACTAGATTAATTGCACTTTATGATTTAATATCGTCATTTATAAAATACAGTACCTGCTATAATATAATATTTAGTAAGTTGTAGGTAGGTACTTAAATTTTTTTTTTCTTTCATATGGCGAGGGTGCTTAACTAAACCATTTTGGTAATAATACATACTAACTTTTATGTATTTAACATATTTATCAATTAAGAAATGACTAATGACTATAATACTTATACTTATATAATAAAATATGTTTGAAAAAAAAAGTTATTATTTTTCTTGAAGTGATTTATATTGTTTTTATTATGTAGGTAGCGTAATAAGTAATAACATAAACTTGCATTATAATGTTAAAAATAGTAAATATACTTTAGTGTAATGTGTAAGTGTAACACAGTAATGACATTGTGAATTATGATATTATTTATTTTATTTCAAACGTTTACTTTAGTATCAACGGAATATGAAATGGCTATTAAATTCTTATACTTGTATGAGTTCAAATCTATGTATTTTAACATTTATTCAAAATGTAACCCAGTAAAAGGTAGAGGCAGGGAAAAAAATTACAATTCTGATATACGCAAACTATACAGTATAGGTATAATATGCATTAACATAAAATATTTATAATAAAACATTCGGAATTAGAATGTATAGGTAGGTACCGAATTTAACATTTGTTTTCTATACAAAGTTGTAATTTATTTTCGTTTTAAAAAAAAATTGGTTTTTCTTTCAGAATTTCCCAAAGATATTCAAGAAATGTTGACAAAACTTCTGCTCGTACATTTTACTCACCATGACATAACGTACTCGATGTCGGAAAGTAAAGAGCAGAGGAGGCGAATGAAACCAGAATATGTATAATATACGGATGTGTAATGTGTATAATGACTGATGAAGGACGTCTGACGCTTGACGGGTATTGTGACTGATAAGAAGCAATAAAACGCTGCACCATATGATAAATGCATATTTAAAACGTAGTAACTTGGCTCTGGAGGATATGCATCAATCAGGATAAAAACCGTGGCACGTAAACCAACAAATCCTTTCTCCACGCGTTACACGCCCTGCAAAAGCATAAAAATATGATATTAAACGCACACGCCCGCGGTGTTCAATATTTGTATTATGTTCGTTTTTTTTTGTGTTTAATAATAATATTATTGTAAGTGCCATGAAGGATTCTACGGAAAAATTTCCTTAATCAAAAATGCCGGTGGTAAAAATGTAGTCCACTAGGGGCAACAGTTATAAATTGTATCTAGTAGAAGACAAAACTCATAAATAGGAATATTGGATTGTGACAGTTTCTCCCATCGTGCCGTTTGTATGTCACGTTAAACCGTATCCGTTATACACTTTAGGTAACAACCAATCTGAAGGCAGGATCGAAAATATTCAAAACTAGTTTTATTTAATTAATAATTTATATATTTTAGATTCTGAGCGGAGTGAATAAACATATTGTATTTACAAAAAGGTGTGTGTTTTTTTTCTGTCTGTCATCAACATTTTGGGTAGTAAAAATACTCTGATTTTTGACATCAGCATATTTACTAATAGAAAAGTGAACCTAGTTGGTACTTTTGGGAGGTAAAAATTTTAAATTCACAGTAATTTTAGAAATCGTCGAAAAAAACAAAATAAAAGTAGTAATTTTTGAGTAAATTAACTTTTGAAAAAATCGATTTTATTTTTTTGGTGTAACTCAAAAACTAATAACCGTAAAATGAAAGAAGTATTGTGAATTTTCTTAAATGTATTTCTTATTTTAAATTGTTTTTAACATTTTCTGGTTTTTACAGTTGATTTTAAAAAATGTTTACACTTACCCCGTCTTTTTTTTTGCACAGATTTTTTCATCAGTCAATTTAGTAGATTACCACCTAGGTATGAGGTATTTGAATTTAGACAGATTCATAATATACATGCTATGTTATATAAACATGGGCAAATACTGATAGTACATAAAAAGAATACCTAAAAAATAATACGTTACACACTATATAGGTAACTTGTTTTATTTTCGGCAGTATAATAAAACCAATAGAATATTGTTTATCGGGTTATCTGGCGTAAGCGAAACCTTATAGTAAGTACAGATAAACTTGATCGCCAAAAACACTGAAAGTTTAAATTGATTGAATGCACATTTCAGCACGCGCGTATAATAAAAATATTGCCGAGATAAAAATATATATTTACATTCAACAATTCAGTTAAGTAACTGAAATGTTTTTAAATATTTTTTTTTTCATGTTTTTATGAATAATAAACATACAGATACAGGTTGGCAACATAATCCACAAACCAAGCTGTATAATATTATTGAATCGTGTCAAAATTACTCCATACCAATAGGTACATACAGTTATTATTTATTATATTACAATATTTAAATATTATGCATTTTATCATAAGAAATAGTAAAATATAATTTAATTTCTATGCATATATCAAAAATATCATAATATAATATAAATATATTATAATACTATAATAATATTCAGAAGCAAAACCAAATCTCACTAACTTTAAACGGCCTAACGATGGGAAAACGTTATTATACAATACTTCGTACAAAATATCTCTTTTTTTCATTTCAGTTAAAATGTTAATGGTTTTCCAAATTACTATAAATATTTCAATATTTGCAGAATGGTGTATATTATGATATTAACCATGCATTCAACCACTTGGTTTATGACATTAAATTATAAAACAATCATAAAACAAATTAAATTATTGTATGGAAAATATATTTTTTTTATACAATAAATAAATTAGTTAAACTTTTGTTGAATAATATTTCAAGCTGCAGTATAATGCATTTTACTATGTTAAACAATATAAAATACTTGAATATATACATTATGAGGGAGACCCATCAGTGTAGGAATCTTAAAGACGAATCTTCTTTTTTTTTTTTTTATTATCATTATTTAGAAGTCAAAATTCAAGAGATTCCAATACCAGTATCTTTTTAATCGACTTACTTAACTTTAAAATGTAATAAAACATTTTCTGTTAATAAAAATTAATAATTTGTGTAGGTATTAATAAAATATTCAAAAGAGAACTACTATATAGGTTATCATTGTTTAAATATATGTATAATTCAAACATACAAAAAGATTTCTTATCGTACATCATTAAAAATAACTAAGATACAAAACAATACATGTTTGTTAACTGTCTACTCCAATACCTATCAAATATGAATGATGAGTACCGACTGTTATTATAAATTTTGTTTTCTTGAACATGTTAAAAAAAAAAGTCTCACTTTTCTAAACAATGCGTCATAGCTGTTCTGAATTATCACAGATCACTATAGAATATGGACGATGTATAAACGGCTTGACTAGGTACCTACTAAAAATAATAATTGGGAACAATGGTTTTTATTTTTAGTTGAAACTATTACAATAGTTTTTAATTTTAGCTCAACCTATTACCGATTTTGCGCACCTAACGAATGTCAAACTAAACGGTGATAGTTAAACTATATTTTATCCTTCGTTGTACTTAAATAATCATAAATATTGAATACAAATAAAAACGGTATGGGGACGATGACAGGAGGAATATAACATTATTGTGTACAGACAAATACTTAAATGTAGGTTCGAAAAAAAAGGTTTTGAATGTATTGTCAGTAAAATTACTATGTAATCGAAAAAAATAGTGGGCATCCTATAAAATTGATTAGGCGTTGAGTATCAAAATATGAAAAAATGGTTCAATTACTTACATATTTTTATAAACGTAGCAGCAACTAATTTATGCTGATTAAATTCCTTTTTAAGAAGCATTTTTAAAAGTCTAAATAAACAAGCTGACAAGTAAAAATATTTAATGCTTAAGTTTTTTTTTTTTTTTTTTGGTAGTATTAGTATTTACACAGCGACACTTAGTATTCGCGTTTGATAAAAGGTGCAATTATTATTAGGAAAAAGAAATAATAATAAATAAAAGTACAAAAAGTAGGTAGGTACTGTAAAGTTTGAGAGACAAGTCAAATAAGAGAAATACTCAATACTTGCACACAGACAATTATTACGCAAACAGAAAAAAGAAATAAAACACATTTGAGCACAATCAGTTGTGAGACTAACCAATAGTGAATAATTTTGTTTGTATATGTTATTATTGTTTTTGATGTTGTTCTCGACGATTTTTTTTTTAACCCGACCGACCTACGACTGAATAAAACCAAATGCATTTATGTATATTGCACATGTATATGTAGAGGTACTTTTCTCCTTTAGCCTTCTCTACCCCTCTACCGTGGGTTTGCGGGAAATCAAAAATTGCTATCGAATCAGACCGGATGATTTATTTTCACTGCGGGAACCGGGTGTCACGGCGACGCCGTGTGTTTCTCGTCGATAACTCGCAAAATGCACAAAACTTGTCACGCCTCGCTGACGACTGATCTCTTGTGTATACATTTACGTACGTGCATATACGGGAAACGAGCCGTGGGAATTGTGTGAGTATTATTTCCGGATGTCCTAAAAGTGTGCCAAATACTA